TCAGTCCTTCCTGCTGCCAGGAGTGCTGATGCATCATGCCCTTATCTAAGGTCATATAGTTAAAATTGCAGCTTACTATAGCATCTGGTGACCATCACATGAAAATGCTATCTGTGCCTGCCTTACCACCTTACCGTGCCGCACCTGACCCCATGCGCTCATGATCCTGCAGGGCTGGTCTCACATCAGCCTCTCTCTGCACATACACATGCCTGCTATCAGAAACTCCCTCTGCCTACTTGATTTTATTTTCCTTTCTCTGTCCCACGCCCTCTTTCCGTGTGTGTGTGTGTGCGCGCGCGCGCGCGCGCACGCAGGCACGTGCACACCCACCCAGGTGCTGGGGATTAAACCTACAGACTTGTGCATGCCAGAAGCATGCACAAAGCCACATGCCCAACCCTCCTATTCACTTTTGTAGACCATGGCTCAAAGACCACTTTCTCTAGAAGGCCTTTTATCATCTGAATGATCCTTCTTCTCTATTGTTCCCCAGACCACAAGTGACCAATATGAGGTAGGCTTTCACACAGACTGGGCTTTTTTTTTTTTTTTTTTTTTTGTAGTATTTAGTATAGGAGCTATAGGGTCTCCAGAGTCTCACTATGTAGATCGGACTTGTGATCCGCCTGTGTTCAGCCTCCCAAGAGCTGGGATTACATGTGTGCGCCACCACAACCAGTCTCAATTACCATCTCAGTGTGCCCCAAGGGGGGGGCCAGCACACACCGGGGAATCGGACCCCTGCTGCTGCATTTGCCTAAGCAGGTGCTTTAATCCACTGAGCTATTTGGCTGGCCCTTGGGCTTTTTATCCTTGTCAAAATTTGCTCCAATTATTACCAGACAAGAGGAAAGGTATGAGGGGGAGTGGAGGAGGGGAAATATGGGCAATGAAGAGATGACTGATCTAATTATGTTATATGTATCTTTGAACGTAACATACTGAAACCCAATATTTTGTAAAATTAACTTGTACAATAAAAATACATTTTAGAAAACTTGCCCCACTGTACTGCCACTCACTGCTTAATGACTTTTTCTCTTCCAGCTCTTATAGAATTGGAACTGTACTAAGCTCATCTCTACCCAGTCAGCATGCAGACTCAAAGCTCAACAAGTTCCCTGGGGGACTGGGGTACAGCTTGCCTTGTTTCTCATATTTATTTTATTTTATTCCCGGAACCGGGGATTGAACTCAGGCCCTTGCACTTGCCAGGGAAGCGCTTATTCCACTGAGCCATCTCCCCGACCCCACTCTCTCATATTTATTTTGACCTTCTGTTCCAGGCCCCATGCCCTCAATAGCTTTTCTGAAATATGTAGTACACTCTTGTTATCTGGAGTTACTTGACTATGCAACAGATCCAGGCCCTGGGATCTCTTAGTGGCTCCCTGGTGGCCACCATGTGTGAGTTTCCCTCTTAAGGGAATGACTTCTAGAGGGGAAATCACTGGTGTCTCTGGAGACCATTGCTGGTAAGTTGTTCATTTAGACTAGAAGCCGAAGCCCTGACAATACCACGCCAAGCTGTCTCACACACTCTGAGCTCGCTGACATTTGCGGCAACTGGAGCTTCGGACTGCACAGGCCTCTCTCACTCTGTGAGAACATGGACTGCTCCTGCCTCGTGTTTTTTACAGTTGCCCAGAACGCTGACATGTCCCCCCACCACACAGCTGCGTCTTCAGGTCCCCAATCCCAATCTCACCTTCTTAGTGACAGCTACCACCACATCTGACATCTCCCACTGCCTGATGCCTACTCTCCGATCCTATCTTTCCTCCATAGCCTATACCCTCTCACACAGATGTATATATTTTATTTCTCTTCGTACACGTAAGCTCCCTGTGGGTGGAAATAGTTTTCTGTTTTTATCCCCGCTGAAAGCCCAGCATCTCATTCCTGGTACATGGCTAGCACTCAGCGAAGGATCTGGCATACTTCATTGTGGTTTGCAAGCTTTTCAAAAGCAGATCAAACAACAAAGACAAAACAGACAACCTTATTAGAAAATGGGCAAAAGACCTGAATAGATGTTTCCCTAAAGAAGATGGAAAAGGGTCAATGACCATATAAAAATACACCCATAACCATTAGGCAAAGGCAAATCAGAACTATAATGAAACAGCACTCATATTTATTAGGGTGACTGTTATTTAAATAAAATACAAAATAATGTGGAAAAATTGGTAGGAATGTATTGGTAGGAACCTAAAATGGTACATACACTATTAAAAACAGAATCAACATTAAAAATATCAAAACAGAATTACCAAAGATCCAGCAGTTCCTCTGTTAGGGATATATATCCAAAACAACAGGGCCGGTGAGACAGCTCAGCAGACCAAGCTCTAGCTTAGGCAAGTGCAGGGATAATGGTTTGATCTCTGGCATGACATGCCATGCCCCTGCCACCCTGCCACACTGAGCCAGCCACCAAGTCTGGGCGTGGTGGCCCACGCCTGTAATCCCAGCACTGGGAGGCTTATAAACAGGAGGATCGCTGAAAGTCTGCACTGTGTAGTGAGACCCTGTACCAAATACATTAAAAAACAAAACAAAACAAAACAACCTCCCAAGATAACTGAAAACATTTCCACAAGTAGATACTTTTACACTTATGTTCAAAACAGGATAGTTATTGCAATCACTACTGCAGAAAGATGAAGGCAAGTAAAGTACTCATTAACAGATGAATGGATGAGACAAAACGTGATATGTACATAAGACAGAATCTCCCTCATCCTTAAGTTCTGCCTTGGGCCACAACACGGATTCATATTGGGGACACTGTCCCAGGTGAAATAAGCCAGACACAGAAAAATAGGTTTTGTATGGCTCTGTTTTATGCAAGCGACCCAGGGTTAAGAGTCAGAGACACAGGGAGAAAAATGTAATGGGGGCTGCCAAAGGTCTAGGGGAGGGAGAATAGGGACGAGTGTGTCACAAACACAACTTCGGTTTGAGAAGATGAACAGTTTTGGAGTTGGATGATGGTGACAGTTATGCAAATGTGTGAACATGCTTATTTAACTCCTAACAGCGCCTAATGTGTATGTCTTGCTGCCGGGTGGCTTGAACCACTGGTTGTAGCTGCATGAGTGTCCCATTGGGAGTCTCTCAGTAATTTTATTACTGTAAAGGGAGGAGCTCCCTTCGTACCACTGGTGGCTCAACCCGGTGGAAACTAATCACCGCAGCTGAACCAGACACCTGAACGTGGTTAAAATGGTAAATGTTCTGTCATGCGTATTTTAGCTTTTAACTCTAAGAAGTCTAACATGGAAGACAGATGGAAGAAAAATGGTGGCAGCCAAGGCAGAGGAAAGGGCGACCAGAGTGGACACTGCCCTGGACCGCGGGTTTCGGATGGATGCAGAACCATCGTGAGGGGGCGGCTCAGGGCTCCACCCTAAAATGCACGTGCGCTGTTTCTTCCTTCTCATGAAGGGAAGTTAAGAGATTCCATTTTGAGGAGGAATTTAATAAAAAGGGAAAATGCTATCCACAACTAGCCTAGGGACAAATGTCCCCACTGACTTATTTTTACAGAAATCACTTTGCATTCCAGTGGCAGGAGAGAAACATCAAGAAAAAGAGCGACATTAAGCTATGGCACTCATATCCCATTATCATTAAAGCCTCATCTTTTCTGAACTCTTCTTCCTAATAACTCAATTCTCAAAATAATCCTGTCAAGTAGGCATGAAAGGAATTGAATAATTTACCATTCACAAATGAATAAACACAAAAGATTTATGGAGCCTTATCTTGGGAGAGTGACAGAAGAAGGGGTGGCCTCAGGATAATAACCATTAACATTTATAAAGATTTATTAATTAAACACAGGCTCTACATTTTCCACAGACTATCAGATTTCCTACTTCTAAGCTGTGTCCTTCTGCCATTTAGTAATTATTACTGTTAATATTCCTTTTTATAGAATAGAAAACTAAAACTCAATGGATAAATATCCTGAAAATAAACAGCTAATAAGCAGTGTGAGCCGTCTTAGTCCACAGCCAGTGCACTAACCACCATTATCCTGGTCCTATCCAAGGGTCCTCAACTCTAGTTCTTTCGGACCAGGCCGTACAAATGCTTCCTTTCTTCTCAAAAATAAATATAACAGACAAATTCCATAAATCACTGTCTTTTCTAGCTCTAACATGACCTAGTAATAACAACAAAAATATAATTCTTTATTATTCTGAGGGGAAAAGGTACAAGACCCTGTTTTTCAAGACTGAGAAGACATTCTTTAGAATGCCATGGAATTTTAGACATAACGTCAAGATCACTGCAGTAGGCATGGTGGGTCATCCCACTTAATGTCCCCCGAGTTTTGCAGTGAGCATCTCTTCACAGGACAAGTAGGCTGCTGAGGGATGACCCAAGTCATTTCCAAAGACCTCTTCAGAGCTTTCTCAGGAGATGGCTGCTTGGCACCCAGAAGCTGGACACAGGACACATGCCTCTGGTTTGTCCAGAGGAAGTGCGCCACCTGCAGGCCACCTGTGGGCTCAAGGACTCTGGGCCAATGAAAACAAATACTAATTCAGAAGAATGTCAGGCTCAGGTTCCAAATAGATAACTACAGTGCATGGGGATGAAGGGACAAAGTCACAAGCAGGGCTCAAGCCAACAGCTAGTTATTTCCAACTCTCCTGAGAGGCTTCCGGATCACTTCCTTCACCAAGACCTAGAAGCAGTGCCTTTGAAACCACTAAAGAGCCTAACATCAACTCCAATAATAAAACCTACATATAGTGATGGTTGTTTACCTTGTCAAAAAATACAAACAGCAGTCCATCAACCATGTGTGACTCTCAGTTTAGAGTGTGTGATATCCTCCGTGTATACTCCAGATCCCCACTAACCCCGGGACAAGGTTTTTCTCGTTTCCATTCTTGGATGAAGCCCTCATGCCTCACAGTGGGGCCAGAGTATGTATGCATGAACTCCCTCTCCTGAGAATCAAGGACTAGGGTTCTTACCGCGTTCTCCTTTAGCTGTAGCCCTTCCCCATTGGGAAGGGAGGACCGTCTCTTGGAGTTCCTGTTTGGGGTTGAAGTAACGGCCCCGGCTTTCTTCTTTACAGTGAGCACCTCACAGCTGGCCTGGTCTTCATTGTGTGTGCTCTTGCCGGCATTGATAACCCTGGGGAAGAAGCACAAGAGCTCATCAGCTGAAGTGATTTTCAGAAAGCAGAGTGCCTCCCCTCCATCTCAGGGGTCAGGCAAGAGAGTTTTCGCAGCTGGCATTACTAAAGCACTACTTAAGGCAAAGGACCTTAGGACCTGGTCTTGCATTTTCTAGAATAATGAGTCTGAGAAAGTAGAGTTACATGAGCAACCAATGAAACATTTACTAAAGAGGTTATTCCAAGCTCCATTCACCTTCACAGACATCTGATAGATTTCATCAACACCATAATCCTCTTAAGTCAAAACATGAGAGGCGATCAGTCTTGGAGGTTAATGGGGAGCCTGGACATTCTGGCAATTATAATGCAGACAGGCAAGCTAGCTCAGGGAATTCTATTTTACTTCTCCAAATGATAAAGAGTAAAAGCACCACTAATTTTATCAAAGAACATGGCATTAATGTACAGCACATTGCAAGGGCCAAAGGAATAGAGAATATACTTCACTATATCATTTCCACTTCTATCTTACATGCAGGGAAATGAATGGTTCCCAAATATATTCCTTAAAAAGTAGTTTAGTCCTCTCTTTTCCCTATAGAATAATATTCATTATACTGGGGAATAGGGGCTCTGATTTGGATACTCAAAACACATATGAAATTCACAGCAGATTGGCCCTGCTTTGGTCCAATTACTGAACGTTGTAAGCACAAAGAGTGCGGCAGGAACGCACACCACAGCATTCATATACTTGCTTCTGCATCAAGTGACTGCAGTCTCAGCTTGTGGATTTCAGCACCATGACCCAATTAAGTAGGCCACAGATAAAATAGATTTTCTGGAAGAGTTCTCCTTGATGTGTCATTGGCTGTTTTATTCCTAACACTTCAGCAGGATCGTAGTCATTGACAGAACAAATGTAGAATTTACAGGACTCAATGGTAAGGAAAGAAAAAAAAACAAAACGTAGGTGAGCCAAATGAAAACTCACTCTTTAAACATGGCATCTACACTGCACTAGTACCACAGTCACAAACCCTCTCAAGAGACAGAGGACTATTATTTTAAAATGACTTAAGAAATCTTCAATGATTATGAACTCAGAGTAAGTTGTAAACATTCCAAGTCCCATTTACCGACCTCCATCAGTGGTAACAATCTTCTATAACTTCAGTAAAAATATCAAAACCAAGAAATCCACATTTCTGTCACCCCGATTACATATTTCATTCAAATATCACCAGTTTTACCATCAAGTGGCTTTCAATCTTAAAAAGTGCACGGTACCCCATTGAGCCAACAGATCTATGTGTTATAATCCACAAGCACAGGAACACTGACTGCAGATTGGGGCGCTGCATGACATGATCTAAGTGTCTCTCTCATCTGTGCCACCTTGTGTGTGGTATGCAGTGTGTGTGCAACACTTAAACAGTGAGTTTTCCTGTGGTTCACCTGTATTTTTTCCCTTCCCACAGAGTTCTGTAAATTCTACATTTGTTCTGTCAGTGCATGTGGTACAGGGTCTCACTATGCAGCGCAGCTCAGCCCAGACTCATAGTGATCCTCCTGCGTCAGCCTCCCCAGCGCTAGGATCACAGGCGTACACCGCCACGCCCGGACTCGGTCACTGACTCAGTGGGCCTGTGGGTGGGGCCAGCTAGGGATGTGGGACCCGGGATCGAACCTTGGTCCCTGGGCTTGCCAAAGCAGGCGCTCAGTCCGCTGAGCTTTCTTGCTGGTCCCCCACTTGTTCTGTCAATGACTACGACCCTGCTGAAGTTTTAAGAATGCAACAGCCAATGACAAGTCAAGGAGAGCTCTTCCACGAAATCTGTTTTATCTGCTTCCTCCTTAATAGGATCATGGTGCTGAAATCCACAAACTGAGTCTGCAGCCACTTGAAGTATATGAACACTGTAGCGTGTGTTCCTGGGGTTCTGTAGAAGTGTTTTTGATACCTTAAGTTTCATTTTTTAAATGTCTTAATATGCAATAATTTAAAAGTTCACTTCAGCCGGGGAGATGGCTCAGTAGAATAAGAGCTTGCCTGGCAAGCACAAGGGCCTGAATTCAATCCCCAGTGCCGCAAAAAAAAAAAAAAAGTTCACTTCCATCTGTACACGTGAAAAAACACAGTTTGTATGTTTTGAACAACTTTGCCCTAAGCCCTTTATCTTTCCAATTCAGCAGAATCATCTGATTGGAAGGAGTATTGTTTTTAAAAGTCTACTTTTATCCATTTCATCCATTGCAGTTTTTTATTTTTAAGTAGATTCTTGCCCATGACGTTTAAATACCGTTGCTCTAGGGGCCTGGGTTGGGAAATGAGTTGAAAAGCTTCGGAGCTTCTCCCGCACTCTCAGGGTGGAGGGCTGGGGAGGGTGCCCTTCCTAAGTCCCTGCCCAACCTGCAGAGTCTCTTCTCTGTGGAACAGGTATTTGCATCTGGCTTGAGAATACAAAGTGATTCTTGACACACACAGCTATTATTAACACCACGACACTGGGGCTGGAGAGATGGCTCAGTGGTCTAAAGCACCTACTTGGAACAAGCTTGGTAAGGCATCAGGGACCACGGTTCAATCCCCCAGCACCACATGCCAGCCAGCCACGCCCCCTGGTGGGCTGAGCTGGCCACACACACACAACACACACTCTCTCTCTCAAATAAAAAAAAAAAAAAAAACACCACGACACCTTCCTATCAGAGCTCAGTGACTTGCCCCAAGGGCCACAGCCATGAAGTGGCACAGATGGGATTCAGAATGAGGCCTACTACGAACTCCAACCCAACCCCTTCCTATTACACCACGGGAAGGTCCACTGTCTGTGGCAGACCATGCTGGACTGCAGGGAGGTACGAATAAGCAGAGTAGGCAAGCTGCAGGCCAGGACCGAGGCAAAGGAGAATCCTCTGCTGGCTTTCTTTGCTGCTGGAGGTGTCTGGGAGAAGCCGGGAAGGGAAAGCCGGGAAGGGAGAAGCCTGGGAAGGGTGGCTCAAATCTGCCTACACTGGAGCAGGTCACACTTAACCCCAACCAAGCCGCTCACAGGGTTGTGGCTGAAGTCCCTAATACCGAATGTGTGTTTGTTGGGTACGTTGCTTTTACACCTAGACTTGAGACCCAAATGAGACGGGCAGGGAAGGTAATGTGAAACAACTCATCTTTCCACATCCCAGGCAGTAACCTTCCAGGCAACAAGGCTGGCCAGATTATTTACTGGAAGATGATGTTATGCCACCAGTCTCCATAGGGAAAGCTGGGCGGAAGCCATCTGAGGAACCAGTTCACGATTGCCATCCCTTCAGACTGTCGCCTGGATAAGATCCTAGCTGCTTTTTTCCGGAATGTGACTGCTCTGGACACTAGCACCCATTCTTGTGCCGCAGTCATGTGTTTGTTTGTTTTTTTAATATTTAATTCCATTTATGTTTTTATCAAAAGCAAGCATGGCTGATCTCCAACAGCCACCTGCCCAGCTGACTCATCAGGCACTATAATTACATAAATCACGAGAATCACTGCCCCTTGAAGTGCCTGGTCTCCTGTCTCCCTTGGGGGAATAATAAACTCCAGTGCTGCCCTAACTTTACCCAGAGGTTCTGGAAACCCTGCTTTATGCACAAGAGACCCAGGGCTCTGAAAGGCTGAGATGAGCACGGACCTGTGCGGCCGAGTGCGGCAGAGCTGCGCACACACTCCTGTGCCCTACGCTCTTTGTCCCAGCTCTCGGGGTTTGTGCTATTTTCCTCCGGGGCTTCTATTCCTGGCAGCACGTGGCTCAGAGGTCTGCAGTGCTACGATGCACCAGAGCCTGGGAGCTGCAGAACCGCAAAGACCAGGACTGGGACCAGTTGTGTTGAGGACAGTGCATGGAAACCTCTGACGAAACAGCACAAAGTCAGGGAGGTCAATCTAGTAAGGTGACAGCCTCAACCTTATGAACCTGTTTAGTCAGACATTTAACTATTACTTAGATGATAAAATACTAGATTAACTATTATTTAATCAATATCAATTTGAGGTCAGTTCCTTCACACCCCACACCCCTGGTTTTGGGGTTCTGAGGAGGGAATCTAGGGCCCCGTGCCTGCTGACCTGATGCAGGAGAGCTCTACTGCTGGGCCACATCCTGAGCCTGTTACCCAGTTTTACATTATTTCAATTTCTGAACTCCACATGACTTCAGTAGAAAAACCTGCCCCTTCTGTATTCACTTGTCTCTGAAAAGTTGGATCACTATCAAGGTCAACATTTTATTTTGCTTTTCGAAGGGAAAATGTATTAAATGTAAAGAAAATCCTTAGTTCCTCAAAAGTAAACTGAGAAAAACCCATTTCCTAAGCTGAGGAGCAGCATGCAGTCCACTGAATCAACAATTCCTGTAGATTCAACATTTGAATCAGTGGCCACACGCCCTTCTTCTGCTCCAATATCAGTAATTATCCCACTGGTTACTGCAAAGCCAGGAGGGAGGGAAGATGGTTTACATCTCGAATGGACAAGTTGGACAGTCGGAGTCAGTACCCGTGCAGACTATCATTAATAACAGATTTCTTCTGGGGAATAGCTGAGTTTGTGGTTTTGTTTTTCAAAACTCTAATTCAGCAAGACGTGGAAAAAGGAAGAGGCTATAGAAACTCATCTGACTCCAGATCCGATGGTGGAAGAGGGCCACCAGGAAACCCGCCCCGAAGAATGGGCAGAATCAATCACCTTCATGGTCCTCAGCCAATGGGTGGTGGATGAGGAAGGTAAATATCTGCTGTAAGAAGCAGACTTCTGGACATACACACCCATAGGAGGAGGAAGCCATCCGGAAGTGGAGGTTGGACCGTGCTGGATGGTAGACGGATGTGTGTGTGTGTGTCTTCCCAGGGACTGCTCTGTGCTCTCACAGATAAATGAGGGCATGCCAGGAATGCTCTCTGCAGGGAGCTGGCTCGACTGATGCACAGCTCTGTAAATACATATGTTTGTCTCATTGTCTTTTTTGTATAGTTTATT